TTATTATTTAACATGGCACATGAGTCCAATTTTGGGTTTGAGCTTCCTCTTCTATTTTTCTTGAAATAGCTCTTCAATTTTTATGTATCTTAGTAGTTTTGTCTCTTATAATTGTGGTATATAATTATTTATATCTCATGTGAAATTTTGCTCGTAATAAAGCACAAAATTCATAATGGTCACTTGAATTCCACCCTATTGAAGCAACTAAAACACACAAAATTCTTCTACCATTTATAAAGGTCTTACTTATTTCGTCCTTGCAGCAAAATCGTCCCTATAGCCATGTTCTTTACAATATAACCAAAAAAAAAAAAATTCAACAAAAACTTTATAAGACACATTTGGTAGATATAAATACAATTTTTTTACTTAAAATAATAGATTGGATCAATTACACAAAAGCTTAAACTAATAGAAAAAAAACTTAATCAATTATTTATGCTTTAACATGCACTCTCATGCATAAGCTCACCTGAAAAAGTAAATTAAACACAAACCCATTAAATAATGATGTCGTTTAAGTCTCAAACCTTTGGGACCTTGTGGAGAGCGAGTATCTTGACCCAAATGAAAAGAATCGGTTGAGGAAAAATAGAAAAGACTCAAAGGCATTGTTTTTCATTTAACAAGTTATTCATGACATGATTTTTTCAAAGATTTCAATTGCAACTATAACAAAGGAAGCATAAAAGATATTAAAGAAGGAATTTCAAAGCTCAACGAAGATAAATATAGTGAAACTTCAATCTCTACACTGTTAAATAAGATGCTTCCTTTAACTATCCCTACAATAGAAAATCATGTTCTTGTTGCCAATAGTTCGAAAAATGAGTCCATATTATGTCATTTATGGTATAAGAATTTAAATGTCCAAGTGATAAAATTGTTGAGTAGAAAAGAAATTGTTAGTGGGTTGCTTAAAATTGAATTTATAAAAGTATGTGAATGTTGTATTTATAGAAAACAAAGTAGAAAGTTATTTCCTATACGAAAATTCTTGAGAGCTAAGTGTTTTCTTAATTCAGTTCATGCAGATTTGTGTTGACATGTGAATGCAAAATCTCTAAGTGGTAGTAAATAATTTTTACTATTTATTGATGATTTTAGCCACATGAGTTAGGTAAACTTCTTGAAATTCAAACCAGAAACTTTTGAAAACTTACAAAGGTTCAAAGCACTTGTTGAAGAACAAAATCAAGAGATGTATAAAGGCTTTTTTCACAGATAAGAACAATGAATATATGAAACATCCAAATGTAAATCCAAGTTTAAACCAAATAAAACTGGGTAAATATATCAAATTCAAATATAAATTCAAGAACCATAATACGAAAACCCATAAAGTCTGAAAAGAAATTCAAGCAGCATGATACTAAAATGCAAAAATTTAAGAACAAACCAATCTCCACAATACTTAAATGCATAAAGTCTGAAGATGAAACTTTAAATAATGGTAATGATCAACCTAGAGTGATGACTAGGAGAGATTAGAGTTGTCCATTTTGCATGTAATCAATGCAGCTGTGGCAGGGACAATCCCCAAAGCAACACTTGTAGTAACCAAAACAGACACAAGTGGTGTAACCCTAGCATTTTGGATCTCTTGTATACCTTTTATAAACTTTGCGACTTGCCCTTTCTTCATCAACATCACAGTTTATCTTAAAAACACATATATAGACATTACTCAATATAAGATGTAATAGATTTGTACATGAATATACATATATAACCAAAATAATGATAAAGATTTACCTATCATGAGGCTAATTGGGGCATCTCTACCTTTTTATTAGCCGAAACATTATGGTAGTGTCTGTATTCTTCAATAGTGCGGACGCAGAAACAACGTCCTTTTTTACACTTTGTGCAGTTAATAAACTCGTCTTGGTGGAATTGATGTTTTCCATGGACGAGCATTGATATGTTGTTTAAGTTTGCAGCATGCTTGTAGTATACCAACAACCTAAACTTGCATAAATGCACTTTTTCCCCATTGATCGTCACCCATATGTGACTCTTCTAGTTCCTTATCCCTTTTCTATCTGTATACTTCTCAAACTCATGGTGAAATCATCACTAATGTACACTTATTTATTAGTCAAACAGAGTCATATATGTTTGTATATATATATATATGAAAAGAAAAGTATTAGAAGGGGATTTGCATTTTTTGTGGGTAGTATAAATGATATTCATATGAGACTAAGAAGGTTCCATTAAAATAAATGTTTAGTCTGCCAATCAAATCACTGGGTCTTCTCTTTATGCAACCACATAAAACCTCAATGTGGTCAGCTTCCCTCTTGTCTCCCTCAATGTTATTCAGTATTTCTTTAGGCAACATCCTTTGACCACCATCAACCGACACACACTTAAGAGCCCTTGATGATAATGATAATGCTCTTGATTTTCTCTTTGATCTCTTTTTCTTTAAATAATTGTAGATACATATACATACATACACCAAATATGTAATTATATTGGACATTATATCTATGTATGTAGTAGACATGCATGCATACATGCACATATATCTTTTTGTGCGTGTATGGCTTTGTGTAAATAGGCTTTTATTAAACAGATATGAATGGACCACATTAATGATTTCTCTCTTGATATGCATACGTATCAAGTAATCATTGAACCATATTCTAAATAACTATATTGAATAACATATGTATATGTATATTTTTGTCTAAAAACATAGATTATTATAATGATGATGGTTCATTAATACATATACATATGCTATATTATCTATATATCTACACCATTATATAAAACAACCTAAATTTATGGTGGCTATAATTCTAATGGATTAAATAAAATATCTTGAGAGTATATGTATATAAAAGAGAGATCAATATATAGATTTTTCTCTTTCTTATCCGGCCAAACAAATCTATGAGGATAGATAGAAGTTGTGTAGCAATTTATTAAAACTTGAAAACTTGTTTATAAAGATTCTAATATATATACGTAACTAATCAACTAAGTAAATATTAATCTTTAAGTATAAAACAAATGTGCTTAAGTATAAATTCATATACACACATACACATGTATATAGATGAATCAAAACAAAGAAAAAAGTCATTTATGTTAACCGGATAAATAAGAACATAATTTAAAAA